ATTTATACAGACGAATAAACGGATTTTTAGTCTTCGGGAGAATTCACAGGCGATTGTGCACTACATTGATTTGTCACGACTGATTACCCTGTCCCTACTGAGGAGTCTGAGATAGACTTGTCATTTCCGACGACCGAGAAATTTTTATAAATTCATTAAACGCAGCAGTAGAGGAAATTAAATGTTCGTCTCTTATTATCAATTTTATGTCACGTTTTATTATCCTCTACTGCTTATTGAAATTATTACCTTTCCATTTGACATCTAAATCTCGAGTTGGAATACCAATTTATTTGGCAGCATCTAATAAGGAATACAAAAAGGATAATAACGAGCGTTCAAATAAAAACGTGGTCAAGTTGGTTCTGAAAATTTGGATGTAGGGCGTAGCGTACAGCAAAAGAACTTAAACGTCATCTGTCAAAGCGCTATATCGCCGCTATCAATTTGAATATTTTCGTTTTAAAAAGCGCTTAAAATGGTGTTTTCTCAAGAACAAAAAGTGTTTATAATAGAGTCCTACTTTATAAATGGACGCAAGATTGATGGAATATGGAAGTATTCTATTGAGGAATGTTTCATAGAATTTCAAAATCAATTTCCCGGCGTTGTTGAGTACAAAATTTTTCAAAGTGCAGTTCAGCGTTGTGTTAATGTTTTTCGTGAAACGGGCAGTGTAACAAGAAAAGAAGGAAGCGGCCGACCTAAAAAGCGGACTGAAGGATTAAAAGAAAATGTCCAACAAATAATGGAAAATGCGCCAAGAACTTCTGTACGTGTTTTATCACAAATGGTGGGAGTATCAGTCGGTACCTGCCACACAATCTTAAAAAAAGATTTGCGTTTGTTCTCCTATCGTTTAACTTGTCAGCAAGAACTTCATGAAGTTGATTTTCCGCGACGGGCTGTATTTTGTGAATGGTTTTTAAACAACTACGGTGAACTTCATAATATCACCTTTTTTTTTGATGAAGCCTGGTTTCATTTAAGTGGTTACGTAAACTCACAGAATATGAGAATGTGGTCTTCTGAAAAACCAGATAACTTTTTGTCGAGGGCCCTCTACACGCTCAAAAAATTGGAGTTTGGTGTTCTCTCAATCGAAGGAGGATTTATGGACCCATTTTTTTTTAATGGTACTCTTACTGGGCAAAGGTATAGAGAAGAAATTATCGCTCCTTTTGTTAATCAGCTGGAAGAAAACGAAATTACAAATTTTTACTTTCAACAAGATGGCGCAAGGGCACATACGGCAGGCGAGACGATGAATATGTTGAGGGAAGTTTTCCAAAATCGACTAATAAATCTCAATGCTGAACATGAATTTCCACCGAGGTCATGTGATATTACGCCGTGTGATTTCTTTTTGTGGCCTTACCTTAAAAACACTATTTTTGAACTGCCTATTCCTGATTTAAACCATCTGCAGGCTCGACTTATAGACAAGATTCGTGAAATTAACAATACCCCGAGCATCTTAGAAAATGTCTTTAATTCTTTGAGGAACAGGTGTGAAAAGTGCTTGAAACAAGGAGGGGGACACTTTCAGCAGCTGCTTTAATTGTTTGTTATTGTTATCACGATTATTCTTTAAAATAAATTTATATAGTCATTAACGTTATTGAAACTGACAGCTGCTATACAGCTCGTTGAGAAATGAGGTTAAGTTGGTCGCTATAAGCTACTCCCTACGTGCAATGTGTCAGAGCCAAATTCGACCACGTTTTTATTTGAACGCTCGTTATGTGTAGGATGTAGTGAGAACGTTTTTAGTATCAATTTTCCTTGAGAAGACAGTAAGAAAAACTGGGGTAATACTTTTTTCTGATATGGAAAGGATATACGAACTTTCGGTTATGTGAAATAAAACTGTTTTTATAAATTTAAACTGTCAAAAAACAAGTATTTGACATAAGAAAGTTATTTTACAAATTTAGACCATTTTCAATTATTAAATCTTCCATGTCATTTGAGCTCTGCTAGTATAGAATGTGTCGTCCATGAATAAAGTAAAAAAATCATATAAAGTCGGAAGTATCGTCAGCAGCTGACCATAAATAAAAGCTCTAATTTCTCAACAAATATGACTGTAATTATGCAAAAGTTTAATATATTCATCTGGTTATCTTTCATTCCAAATAAACACGAATTTATGCAAAATTTATTCTGATTTTCAAGTATGTTCCACTGCCAACAACCTCGTAATATTGCCATGGTTTTTATATTTTTAACCGTAAACAGTACATTCTAGGAGAACTGTCTTGATCTGTAAAATATTACTTTCTACGTCACATAACATTTACCGAAAATTTTAATCTCTATTCTCTTCTTTATTTTTGCCCGAAATTTATATGTAGGTGACATCCAATCTTTGATAATGACCGTAGAATTCGATTTAAAAAAAAGGTGTATACCAAAAACTAAATTAATGACCACAAGTAATTCCAAACCTGTACCAAAATAAGTTTAAGTCAAAATTGAAAACTGTTGTTTATCATGACGAACAAATTTGTTACCAATACTAGCTCGTTTAGAAGATAGTTGAGAAAAACTATTGGATTTTATCTCCATTCTGCTGTATCTGCGCAACTTTTTCTGAAGAGTTCCTAGGCATCATTATATTTACAATGGGAACTAGTGAACTGTATGACATTAAAATTGATTTCGGACTCAATAACATCACTTTAGTAAACGATAAAACTACAGGGTACTAGAGGTTTGACTGCCTTAATTTAAACAGACGATGGAATACATTAAAATAAACAAGAAAACCTTATATGACATGGGTCCTAAACTCAACCATTTCCGAGAAAAAAATGATCAAAATCTCCAACTGGATGTACAAAAGTATCTTCAAGTATCTAGAGATACTAAATGTAGAAAAAACATGAAATATTACTACAGTTATTTATATAACATGTAAGTATTTATTCATTGAGGATGAAAATTAAAAGAAAGGATTTTTTTAGATATGCTACCAGTTTCGTAAAATAATGTATTACATTATTAAATAAAAAAATTGTATAACATCAATTTCAATTTTATCAATCTCAAGTAATATTTGCAAAGCAACAATGGAGACTATTTCTTTTTTCATCGATTATTATTATACCCCATCCCTTTCAAATGCAAATATATTTCACCAATTTGGAAAATATGTCTGTAAGGTATCATTTAAGAAATGTTTCTTTTTCTCGAGTATTAGCGTTGGTAGATTTGCTCACAAAATGATTCGCCATACTGTACCTTTAGCTACTCTAGCAAGAGAAAAATCAGTTCGGTACATCCTGTACAGAGAATTTGGATAAAAACTGACTTTTTACCAAATTTAAGCACGCACCTAATGGCCGTTATAAAAGCAATTATCCCGTTTATTTGAAACCCCAGAGGTGCCACTGTCGGTTTATGTAGGGGATGGAAATAAATTTTAAAGGATCTTCTCGGCGGATTACGTGTACCTAGTACAAGGAATTAAAAAAAGTCGATCGAGCTTTTGGGAAAATGTATTTGGGGACTAAGGATGAGCACGTCTTTCAGGTTACGGATATGTAAACTCGGAGACTTAAATCGATTATCTTTAAAATTTGGCGAGAAGCCTGTTCTTAAAAATAATCTAATTCGTAACACTTCGAATGAGACAGTTTTCAGGAATGTACAGGATGATAGGGACGATAAAGGGCTGCGGTATCGAAATTCAGCGTCTGAAGTTAATTATTTTCCATTTTTTTTTTTCATAACTCACTAACAAAGGAAACTTTGACGTATTAAGTGAAAATTTCAAGTACATAAAAGGACCGTGCACAAACCTTCAGAGCATCCTGATCAAAAGTTATCATGGGCACAAAACCCGGAAACCGCTCCCAACCCCCAAAGGTAAGGGGCTCATTATACCACACCACCAAAAAAAGTGTCAGACCAACACATGCAATATATAGTTTTCGGTGTATTTTTGAGCGCTGGACACGAACACGTCATCATTTTTGCTCTTGCACGTATCAGTCTTCAGCAAATCGCTGAAGAAGCTTCAGAAAACTGAAGAAAGAATATTGTGACTTGTGATTCACATGCGATATCTGGTTTCTGGTCTATTTTTGCACACTGGGCAAGATTCTGAGGTCAAATGTACTTTAATTACCTTAAATCTTCAACTAATAACTGAAGAAGCTTCAAAAACTGAAGAAAGAACATTGTGTTATGTAATTCACATGCGATATGTACACACCACTGAAGAACCATGGTGTTCTTTCTTCAGTTTACTGAAGCTTCTTCAGCGATTAGTTGAAGGCTTAAGGTCGAATTGATCTCAGAATCGTGCTCAGCGTGCAAAAATACACCGGAAACCACATATCGCATGTGAATCACAGGCCACAATGTTTTATCTTCAGTTTTCTGAAGCTTCCTCGGCGATTTGCTGAAGACTGATACGAGCTAGAGCAAAAATGAAGACGTATTCGTATCCAGAGCTCAAAAATACACCGGTAACCATATATTGCATGTGTGGGTCTGATACTTTTTTTGGTGGTGTGGTATAATGAACCCCTGACGTTTGGAGGTGATTTTGGGGGGATGGGAGCGGTTTCCGGGTTTTGTACCCATGAGAACTTTTGATCACCATGCTCTGAAGAGTTCATTCCCAAAATTTGAGAGAGATCCACCGGGGATCCATTTGCATAAGGTTTGTGCGAGGTCCTTTATGAAAAAAAAAATCTAGATTTCTCACCAGTGTTGTACGTGCGGTGCTTAGCTCACTTCCAGAAATAACACTGATACTTCGATTAACATTTTTTTGCATTTAGATTTCATATAAAATTAGTCATGAGTTTTGGTTTCGAGCAGTATTATTGAATAAAATACAAAAATCACAATAAAGTTTTGGACATACGAGTATATTAAGTGTAATATATTCGTTATTCAAATATACTTATAAATATAACTTTTGAATGTGATGTGTGATAATCTGGGACGATAAATATGAGTAAATATAGTAAAATGATACTCACTCAGCGTTTTGAGCTTCACTATTTGAATTACATCACAGTTATCGATTACTTCTAGATATGTTATTTCACATTTGTAGGTAGCTTCATCTTCTGCTTGCACGTGAGATATTTGTAGAGGTGCATCCACACTGTCTGTAGTGAATTGGACTGACATTCTGAAAACAAGTAAAAATTAATCAAAACCAGTGCATGCAATTTTTTTTATAGATGTTTGTAAATTATAATTTTTTGACAGATTATCTGAAAAATGGTATGTCGAATATGATAGGGCGATCTATTTTACGAGTATTCTAAAATTGCTTGAAATATTTAATTTTTGGGTCAGTGGAAAGTCCTCATACAAAAAAATGACAACGTCACTTTAAAAAAATGACGTCCTCTTCTTTAATTTTTGTTAAAGGAAATATGTCGTATAGCCAACAGGTCATTTTAGCTGAGCGACTTTAATTTAAATCGTATTAGTAACGTCATAACATACCCCACTTACCGCACTTTTACGCAAAGTTGAAGTCATTTAGGTTTAGCCATAAGAAAAAATGAGACCAAATGAAGGTAGCAATTACGTGATTCTAGCGTAAGGCGTGGCTTGGGATCCGTGTGCAGGGTGTATCTAAATAACACAGAAAAAATGAAAGAGGCGATTCTCTGATGAAATATAATAGGGGTTTTTGGTATAAAATTTTTTGAAAAAACTGTCCCCTGAAAAGTTACCCCCGAAAATATATATTTTATCTTCCATGTATATCAAGCTTTTTGGTGAAAACCTACGCAAATGAGTGAGTCGATAACAATCTTGAAAATAATATTAACAAAAACAATAACAAGCAGATATTGATATTATGTAACGAAAGAACAATTAAATTTTAACAAAAGTAAAGATGTTTATAAATGTTCGAATTGCATACAATTATTTTCAACGCAGGAATTTAACCTTCGCTGCGTGCTGTGAGCAAAAAATAAAAGACACGTTTAAATGTCTTTTCTTTAGCGTAGTGTTCCTTAATTCATTAGCATTCTTTATTTTTGGCTCACTAATTTGCGAATAACTTGATAACAAAAAAAGATATCGACACTTTCTGGCGTCAAAATAAAGCTATTTTTATGCTCTTCAAACTGACCTATAAAAAGTTTTATCCTGCTATTTAACTTTTTTAAGAAAACGCAAAACAACCTAAACTTGGATAAATAGCACCAATAAATAACTAAATAGGCTGTACTATTTAAACAACACTTTCGTTAGAAATTTAAAACTTATGCTATAATTCATTTATGTAAAGAAAACTATAACATTGTGTTTAAAATTTTTGAGAAAAATCCATGAAACGGCATTCTTCTGAAATAACGCTATCTACAGGTTTCCATATTGAGGTAAATGACATTACGCATTCACAACGAGATAAAGCATGAAAAGACCTTTCCAACGAGGTATAACACTATAGGCTTTTGATGAGTCAATCCTTAAAAAAATACCTTTTTCTGATCAGACATTAGGGGCTTCCCTTTTCTGTCGACAGATAGAACAAAATGTCAATAACAAAAGTAATGCGCAATGAATCCATATTTGCACATTTCTGAGAAAAATTCAACTCTGTTTTGATATGTAGATTGGGCCCCCTAGCGGCCGAGCTACGAACTATTTCCAGTGATTTCTCTTGGTTGATTTATGTTTTGTTCCTGATATCGTACCTCGCCGACCTTAGTGAGACACACCCTGTACGTATGATCTACACAGTAAACTGAATCATCGTATAAAATATGTTACGCATTTAGGGTTCACCCTGTATATAATAATATTTATCGCTTTATTACGAGTAAAGGATTTTTTTTCGACTTCTGTAACAAGAAGAATGATTTATATCAACTTATTTAGCATTTTCTTCCTCTTCGTCGCGTAGCCTGTCACTATAAATCGTTTGGTAATTACGCGACGCGCCATCTAATGTACACTTTAATTAAGTATTGTTCAAAACCTCCATGATGTACGGGATAAAAAGCAGCATCCTTTAAGCGGTGCGAGTAGTCTCGCAAGTACCATACAGCGACGGCATCCTCCGCCCAACCTCAAGCTGAATTACAAGATGACGAGCTTCAATTCTATTAAAACTACACAAAAGACTAATTTGCTTCAAGTTGCCGTTAACTCTCTTAGGCTGCAGCGTGGATGCATAAATTAGGTAGATTGAATGTATAGCTGCAATTAGATACGCGAAATTTTCTTCGGAGTTTTGCTTCAATTTTGTGAATGGCTTATTAAGTAACTCTAACTTTACTAGGTGTTTATTAGGACGTTAGGTAGTCAGAAATGACAAAATAATAATTAGGTAATCTAAAAACATGTTTATGATTTATTTAATTCAATCGTAGTAGCCATGAAAAAACAAACGAAAATTTTAACATTTCTGTTTGAGTGAAATTTTTTCACAGTGCATGAATAGATGTATCGCGAAAGAAGACGACCAAATAGGAATATATTCTAACGTTTAAGCAGTATTTGTATATTACAAGAACATAGTACTTTAAAGAATATAAAAAGATAGTGTTGATAATGGAACTGTAAATAAAATGGATGTTTTGACACAAAATAACAGAAATACAGATACATGCCATATAAAATTAGCAATAAAATTGAATTTATCAGGTTTAAAATTTTTTTTTTTTATCATAATTTTAAATTTAAACCAGTATAAACATCCTAAAGACAACCAACAAAGACTGAAATTTTATGAATGGTTTCGTGATGAATCGAGGACAGATCTAGATTTTCTTGCTAAATTTTATGGACTAATGAAACATTATTTGCTAATAGCGTTTTTAACAGAAAATACAAACACTTATTTGTAAACTTTTAACATGGAAACTAAAGCAACAAATTCTATTTTATGTAAAAGTTTGGTGTGGCCTTTTCCAGTACAAGTTACTAGGAATTTACTTTATCCCAAAACATTTTAGATCATTTTCCTCTTGAGAAAATGAGAAACTTAAAGTGGTTTCAACCAGATAGGGCTAGTGCTGATCATGCCAGAATTATTAAAAAATTTTTGGATGAACGTTTTAACAATTCTTGGTATGAAACTAATTGTCCCATATACTGGCCAATAAGGACGGCAAGTTCAAATCCCTTGGATTATTTTTTCTGGGGATTTGCAAAGAACAGAATTTATGATAGACCAGTCCAGTGTATTCAATAATTACGAGTTAAAATAATACAAGTGCTTCAATCAATTCTACCGGAAACAATTTAAAATTCAGTAGGTACAACACGTTTGCTTTAAACAGAAATATTAAAATTTTCATTTGTTTGTTGCATGGCATCTGCAACTAAATTAAACAAATCATAAAATTGTCGCTTTTGTGCCCTTAAGAAAATTTCTTCACCAAATTTATATATCGTTGAACTCGAAAGAACCCCGCACAAAACGTGGAAATTGAACAACGGTCAATTTTTTAGGAAACTTCATATTTTGATAGTCAAGCTGATCAAAAGTCTCAATGGGCACGAAGTACTACAACCCCTTCCAACAACCACAAAACCACCCCCAAAGATTAAGGTAATGAACTTGACAGAAGTCAATTGGCTTACCGTAATATTTCACTATTGCAGTCGAACCTACAGACACCAGATTTTTAAATGGTAAACAAATAATAAGACAAAAAGTTACGTTGGAAATAAATTTTAGGGGTTGCGTTTTCCACTCCTTACAACCATGGGGTAAACCAAATAAATTACTGGCTAAGTGTCTTTTTGGTAGTAGAAAATGTCAGGTTAATTTCAATATTGTAACTTGTTTAGTGCTTGTGAAAAAAATTGTTAAACAAATTTTATGTACCCCCTTTAAGGGGCTGTATCTTAACAAGGGATGCTCCAATGCAGTTTCTTTATATGAAAGATCCTATCTTTTTTTTCTATGAGGAATCACCTCCTTAAATGTTTTACACTTATTTAGTTACACCCTGTATAACATCAAAAAAGTGATCATCTTGTAGGTATTCTCTGAATTTTGAAGTTGGTCTCAAAAAACACCCCGTATATTTGCACCTGTCCGTGATGTGATGGATATATTTACAAACAACATAAATGTTCCCTAGCAGTTCCCATTAGTTCGCCGCAAGTTCATGTATCTCGTTTGCTCTCCCAGAAGAGTCATCACGGCTAACTTTACGTACTTCAAAACTTGCCTCCACATACCCTTCGTTATCTGCAGACACAAATTGATTGGAAAACGAGGAAACTAGCGGAAGTTACTTTTTCCAACTTCAATTAAGTTTACCGAGTTCACGGCGATACTTTCGTGCACCGCTGAAATTAACCGCCCCCCCTTTTTTTCGTATTTAAACCGCTTGCTAAGGGAATCCTTTGTTATACAAATTGATTATGAGGTCGATTTTGCGGGAGCAGGGCGGATTCACTTCTTCGTAAACAGGAGTGTCTTTAATAATGGCGCGGTTAATTAGAAGACAATGGTACTAATAATTGTCGAATTTTCGTCGCTGTTAAATTTTGAAAATGCAATTTTAAGTTATAATTGGATCATACATTATTTATGGGTTGCTGGATTGTGCTTTATTCCTCAAGTAGGAAGAGAGCAAATAATGTATTATACAGGGTGGTCCAGATTTTAATAGACAAACTTCGGGAAAGTACTAAACAGCATAAATTAACATCACCTTGCTCTATGAACATAGGCGCAGAAAGTCGCCGTTTATGAGATACAGGGCGTTGAAATAAACAAAAATAAAAATTTTTTTTTAAATATCTGGAAAATCATTTCATCAAATTTATCCAAAGGTACACATTTTTTTTTTCAAATATTTCTCCTAGTTCTGTATGTAGACAGTCCAAATTCAAAAACCAGTAGCGGAGAAACGAGGATATCGTTTCCCTATTTAAAATAAAACTTCTACGCCACTGAATTAATTGGTAATATGAATACATTTTAAACGGCCTGAAATATTCCGGATGAAAAAACATTCTTTTATTTTTGTCGAAAAGTGAATGGTTTACGCGTTATGAAAGATATTATCCAGGTAAACATCTTGCCACCTAGTCTAAATTCCGATCTGATTTTAAAATTTTTGGACAATAGCCTCTTCCAGTTAATGGGGGACATACCTTCGGATCAACGAATCGGGACCTGGTCTCAAATGGACGGGGCACCAGCACATTCTGACCAGGTAGTTCGTGAATGGCTGACAAACAACTACCAAAACAGATGGATTGGTCGGAATGGTCCCATACCTTGGTCACCTAGATCACCTGATCTAAATATTTTGGATTATTTTATTTGGAGGTAACCTAGAAAAATGACGTTTACGCCGTTCCTATAGCAAATAGGGACCAACTGGTGCAAAGGCTAAATGGGGCCTAAATGGGGTACTAATTTGAAGCAAAGTCCAGTTTTAATCAGAGCTGCTGTGAATTCTATAACCAAAAGATGGCAAAAGTGCATTGAGTTTGGAGATGGACACTTTGAGCAATTGATTTAAGTTATTTGTTTTTTTATATAACTTTACTTTGTTGTTCGTGTTACTTGAAAGTTGAGCTCGACATATTACCTGATAGTGAAAAATGTGTATCAAATTTTGATAAATTTGTTGAAGCGGTTTTCCAATTATTTAAAAAAATTGTTTTATTTTTGAAAATTTAAACGCCCTGTATCTCATAAACGGTGGCTTTCTGCGTCTGTGTTGATAGAGCAAGGTGATATTAATTTTTGTTGTTTAGTACTTTCCCGAAATTTGTCTATTAAAATCTGGACCACTCAAATTCGTTTTATTTTTCCCTATTCCAACGTTTTGTTTACTTGGATAATATGTCTCATAACTCGTAAACTATTCACTTTTCGACAAAAATAAAAGACTGTTTTTTCATCCGGAATGTTTCAGACCGTTATAAAATGTATTATATATTACCAATTAATTCAGTGGCGTAGAAGTTTTACTTTAAATAGTGAAACGATATCCTTGTTTCTCCGCCACTGGTTTTTGAATTTGGACTGTCTACATAGAGAACTAGGAGAAATATTTGAAAAAAAATGTGTACCAAATTTGGATAAATTTGATGAAGTGATTTTTCAGATTTAAAAAAAAAACGTTTTATTTTTATTAATTTCAACGCCCTGTATCTCATAAACGGTGGCTTTCTGCGCCTATGTTCATAGAGCAAAGTGATGTTAAATTTTACTTTCCCGAAGTTTGTCTATTAAAATCTGGACCATCCAGTATACAGAGTGTTTCAGAAAGATATCCCGTAAATACAGGGGGTGATAGTACGACAAAAAAATAAGAATATTTTGTCTTATGAACTATATGTCTATCTCCTCTTATTTTCGAGATACAGAGACAAGATAAAACTTTTTAAATAGAATTTTTACGAAAATTTCCAAACGGCGCGAAATAGTTTTTTGAAATTTGGTATTCCGGGATTTTTAAGGATGCCAAATACGCTGGTTTAATTATTTTTTGGATATTTAATGGGGGGGTTAGTTATGCTACATTCCTATTACATTTTAATTCTAATTTTTTTAAGGTTAGGTTTTTTACCATTCGGGCTCCAATTTATAATGTACAATTTTTTCTAAAAATCATGTAATCCTGTTAGAACTTCCCAATGTGGACGGTTTTCGAGAAAAAAAGGCTTTTAATTAAACTCTAACAATATTACGGTGTATAAAATAAGTCTTTTCCCAAAGTAGGCTTATGTCAAAACTTATTGATGGATGTCTTATAAACAAAGCATACATTCTTAAAGAAATTGGACAAGTGTAATGCACCAAATCAGCTGTCAAATAACTTCATCAATTTATTCATCAAGTTTTTAAGGAATTAGAGCATGTTCTAATTTTCGTCAATTTCTTCGTGAAGTTCGGAAGTACCAACCCAACAGATTTCCAGCCTCAGATCAGTAATGAGGTTATTTTATTGGAATATGTAAATAATTGTGTAGCGTCGTGCTAGTTTTACATTGTTTTTACTGATTTGTTATTTACAAAAACTAATATTTATATAATATGTGTCAGAACGGTACCGCTGTTGTATCACTACAATTATTAGTGGAAAGGTGACATTTTTGAAATTTATTTGCTTCTTTGATTCCTTGGTAGAACTGATTCATACGTCAAAAAACTGTAGCAGTGTAAAACCACACTGTTTACCAATAAATTCGTGAATTAATTGATGAAGAACTTCATCAATTTATTGATGAATAAATTGTCAATGTAAAACAGCTATTAGTAATATTGTAAACTCTAATTAACCTTATATCAAAATTTTAGTGTACAGTGAAAACGGTGAGACTTAGACTCTTGCTTTATAAGGTAATTCTGAATTATTTATTGATTGTGAGTTCTATTTGTGGTTAAAATTTGATTCACTCGAACTGAAACACTCAATAATTTAATTTGATTTACACATTCAAAAGTTTGATTTATTGCAATTTTTAGCCTACGGCCATTCATAAAATTCAAGAAGACCGAAAGAGTTTAACATTTCATCGTTTCAAAGACTGGGCTCGTATAGGATATTAAAGAAAAGGTACGCTGTGAGATATACGATTACACCTGCTGTATAAAGCACGGGTTAGGCTGCTTGACAGCCAAAGTAAACCCTCGAAGTGCATTCGGCCAACTTGTTAGACAAATTGAATGCCCGGGCAGTGAGTCAGGTCTTACATGGACCACTTGACTTATGTGTTCACATAACGTTTACCCTATTAGATGATACTGCTGTTCAGTTCAAACAGTGGCGAATTGCATTGGGTACTTCCTTTATTCTCATTAAGCAGGTGTTAGAGAGAACTAAACATTTGTGATTGGAAGATAAACAGATAAAATATTGAAATGTTAATGAAAGTGAGTAGATAATAAAGAGTGATTGATAATAAAGCATGTAAAATCTGAATATCTCAATTTTCAAATGCATATTTCTAAAATTACATCAGAGCAAACCATCAAAATCAAAACTGAAGCTTTAGCACCCTGTATATTTCTGTAAGATAAGTTTGGTAAGAACGTAATAAGTATTTTGAAATCAGAAATTCACTGATATCTTACTGACCAGAGTATTTATATATTTCTTTATTTACTGATTAATATATTCTGTAATATCAAAAAAGTGCAACATTTGTTAGGAAATGATGTACAGGGTGATTTTATCGAGATTAAAGGCCAGTCTTTGAAATTTTTAATAATATATCAAGTTTTTAGTTCAGTCAAAGAGGTACTATACTCCTTCAAAAACTGTAAACTTTAAACTACAAATATGAAGGTGTTTTGAGGTTAGCCCTGCGTGCTCTACGTGCTATTAAAGTCACATCACTAGTGGGACAATCTATATAATTTTACTATTGAAAGAAATATTGTAATTTTTGTGATATTCAAACATACCTACACTAAAATTATTTCGCACAGTTGTAATTCAATTCGGCATTCAATATTCAGCAGACAAAGGTTTACTTTGTTAGCTTAGATAGAAACGCCACTCACATATTCTCCTTGTGAAGCTAATGTATTCATTGGGAGTTGACCTACGTAAAATTTGATTATACTTGAACTTTACTTGATACAAAACTCCTTGGCAGGATCTTAAGGTGGCTGAGTTTTTCACATAATAATCTGCCTCCCTTAATTTTTTACTTTCATAAAACAATGGTTTGGACCATTTATAATGAATTGTAATTGTTAGTTACTAACCACAGGTTAAATAACAAAGTATTTTGTACTATATGAGTTGTGTCAGTTGGAATATTTATATGAGTTGTGTCAGTTGAAACTGTAATTTGTGTAATACAAAATAACCTCGTTGGTAAGAGTAACTTCGCCTCAAAACATCACGTATAGAATTTGATCTATTTGTCGATACTGCATATATAAATTATTGCGAATAAGTATTGTAATATACGTGCATTTAAAGGAATGTTGGAATATAGCTTAGAGTTTCCATAATATTCTATTTCAAATGCTCTGAATTGCTCTTTATACATCTGTATCCTCTGTAGAGATGCACTCCGGGGACCAACTGTTGAAATTCATTGCAGCGCAGCATTAGTCATTATTTAACAACAGTTCGATTTACAAGATTAGATTTACTATTCACAAGCGAAGTTGTTTAGCGTTCAAACCTTCTTAAATAAATATAAACGTAAAGGAAGGTACGTTTTCTAATATACAATGAAGATGCAGAGCAATGCAATGAAACGATTATTAAGCGTAGTGCACGTGCAGAGTCTAACAGAGCCGGCGCGAGGGTTCGGTGGCCTTCACAGCTGACTCGCGTTTTGAACTGTTCAGTTATTTACGGAGCCTTGTAGTAGTTGGTGTCGCGTCGATACCTTTTATTTCTACTCTGCTGTAAATTGTATTTGCCGGGTGTATTTAAATAACTATAATAACATAATTTGCATTAACAACTATTAGTTGGGGGTAAAAGTGAAGTAAAATGCCACAAGAGAAAAGAAATAGACGGGAATTATTCAAATCTGGATTGACAGTGATCCCGAAGGTTACAGGGACATACGTGTTAAAAGAAATGACCTGTTTTGTACTGTGTGTGAACGCATTATAAATTCTTGTGACAAAACTAAAGTGACAAGACATTTGAATGAACTATGAACTTACAGACGTCTTTCTTTCAAGCAATATTCCATTAAACAAATTAGAGAACCCCAAGTTCCGTATTTCCGTAAATTGAATTCACATGGACCATCCCTAAATGAACAATTTGATATAATGTATGATGTACAAAAAATATATACGATGTCATTAATATACGCCCAGTCAGTAATACGATAGAAGAAAAAATACAAAGAGTGTTGGAAAAAATCCAGAATACACCAATTTGTAAAACATATGTAAAGTTTTATTTGGTGCATATCAGGAGTTACCAGCAAATATATGTTTTAACTCCTTCCAAAATGCCACCGAAGCCTTGTCTCAACACTAAGGTTTATCGGGTAAGTGGTGTCATTTATATTTATATAGATACTTTATCCTCTACTTAGCCTTGCTCTTTGATAATAGTACTATATTGCTACATATTTTCTGTAAACATATTAATATTTTTAATTCGTAATCTGACTACGGTCCTGTTAAACTTCGCGCCGCACTAAGTCTAATAATTATATTTGATTGGATGGTTTGCGTAACTTTAATTATCATTTTAATAACAAG